ATCCGATAAATTTCCACGGTGATTGCTTCAATCAATCACCGCAAAATTACATATTTACCCGCACGACGATAAAAATATTTGCCTCGAGAGTTTTTCATTCCACCGCCAATGCAGTCCTCTCCTTATCGAGAGTAAGCCATTCGTCACGCTTCCAAGTACAATACAGATATTATGCAAATTTATCAGTAGATATGAATTGAATAAATTGTATGGAATAATGGAATAGAAATGCAGAATCGTGAGTCTCGTATAAAGAGCCCAGAGAGACGGAAAATGAGTTATGAACTGGTGTGAGTAGAATTTTTTGCCTCATCCTCCATTTGTTTCACGCGCTGACGAGGCGGGAAGCGTTATAATTAGGCCGTCCGATAAGGCACGAGTAGTCGTAACAAAACAACTTTTTGTTAATAATTAATGTACAATTTTAATTGCCAAGGCATCAACCACGAGAAACCGAGGGGGAGAGAAATTAATTAGGCTGATTGCGATGCAACCATCGTCAAGACTGTAATTCCATCAGGCCTATAACAACAAATATTATAATTATCACATAATGCAGCGAGGGAAACGGTGTCGAGTTAAAAATCTCTATTTGTATTTATGTAAACAGAGGGAGCTGATAATTGTCGTCTCGAGCTCTGCCTGAAAAGGCTTTCACGTCAATTCTTAATCCAATAGACCAATTCTTAATCCGAAAGACCAACGCTCACCACCACTCCTCGCCGGGGATTTACAAATTGGATTATAGTATTTCGTCAGTGTGAGATGAAAGATGGGGGGGCGCGTGTAAAACAAGCAGCGGGACCAACTCTGATGGAGGTCTCGACTTAAGTCCGTTGGTAAGTCGTCTTTTGGCCGGAGGCTCTTGTATAACCCCGTGGGCTTTCTCGCCCCCCTTTTGGTTTGTATATTTCCATTCGCGCTATACCTGATGGCTTGAAAATGCCGGTATAAGCGCATCGCACATAAGACAAGCAGCCGGAGGACAAACGAAACGAGGGGAGGAGCAAGAAACTCACGAATTTTGCAGAGCGCTGGGCCCTCTTTCTGACGGTGACCTGTTAAGTCGACTAATCCGGAGAGATTAGAGAACATGTACCGCCTTGTCAAAACTTGTCACCGATAACCACTGAATAAACTAAGCCAGTGGATTATTTGTCGAACAATGATATCGCAAACCACACTTTTGAAAAAAAAATGAAATTGTATTTTCCATTAATTGAAATTTTATTTCACAGCTTCACAGCTTCTTCCATCATAGAATTTCGAATTTTCAGTGAGGAACTAAAGTGTAATAAAAATTTCCAAAAAATGTCCTGGAAATTTTACCCACAAATTTTTAACAGTGCATGCAAAATTAATGAGAAAATTTTTTCATCGCCACGAAATATTATCCTCAACACAATCTCCCTCCCGACGTGGATTCAAAGAAAAAATAAAAATTGAAATGTCTCTATTGAGACACGTACGTTTAAATAAAGCCAACTCGGTCAAATTTCTCATCCGGAAGTCTGTATCAGCAGTGAAGCGAGCAAAAGGGTGGCCACCCTCTAAACTACCTACACGTTTGCACTCAGCACGTGTAGACGAGTCACAATACAACTGCAAAAGCTTCCCCCCCCCCTCTCCTTTTGACGCCGGGCCTCTATACAATCTCGTCCAGCAGAGAATTCTCGACGTATTCCCGGTATCTCTCACGCTTCGCGGCTATTTCTATGGGGACAGACGCCCGTCTAATTTCCTGCCCTGAATTTCGAACTACCGAGATTTCCACCCGTCCTTGACACGTCAACGATTACATCTCAAATTAATTTCTTTGCATGCAGCGGAAAAAAATATCANAAAAAAAAAAAAAAAAAAAAAAAAAAAAAAAAAAAAAAAAAAAAAAAAAAAAAAAAAAAAAAAAAAAAAAAAAACACAAAAAAAAAAAAAAAAAAAAAAAAAAAAAAAAAAAAAAGAATGAAAAGAGAGATGAATTCCCATCTTCAGAGAATTCGAAACGACTTGAAACGCTGGAGCCCGTAAATTATCCCTCCGAAAAGAAATCCGACGCGTCTAGTTTCTATAATAGAATTGTTATGAATTTCATATTAATACCAAAAATAAAGCATAATAGAGAGCGAGATGACGCGTGGAAGGGGAGGAGGGGATAGGACAGTGAATCGGTCGCGGTGCGTTAACTTCCAGGTTTTATATCCATCTGGTTATGCAGCACGCTCGGTTGAATCGATTCTGGCTCAGGCTCCCATGAACAACGTCTCCAATAGGATTCAAGCCGTCACAGGGACTACAAATCATCCCTTGTTCCATTATTTTCATTTTTTTATGACTCATTCAACACCATATTGAATCTCAAGTGTTATTCCTGTATTTTCATCTCACAGAGAAAAACACGTTCTGATCATCAGTGATTTTTACCCCTGAAATTTAGCGATGAATTTCTGAAAATCAGTCACATTTTTTTGTTTAAATTAGTGATGATGTCCCCGAAAATAATTTTTTTTCCTCTGCGATAAAAAAAGACAATGAAAAAAAAAAAAACTGAAACCCAGTACCAGTGGGAAATTCCTATTGTTTTTCGTCCACTTCCCGGTAAAATCCTCAGGTACGCTTTAGCACCAGAACCACAAGTCGTAAAGTCAAGTTTGCGATACAGGTCACTACCTGAAGCTCGCTGTAGCCCCCCATCTCCCCTCTAATCCCATTTTTGACATTCGTCCGGGCGTCGTAATCCGTGTGTTTGATATTTTAGGATTCTCATTTTTAAGTTTTTCCCCGGGACGAGAAAAATACCCCGAGAAAAACGCCCCCGTCCAAGTCCCCGAGAAGCCGTGAGACAATCCCAGGTAACAATATTCATAATCCGAAAACATTGCCGAGATAAAGTAAATCTCATCTCTAAGAAGATCGAGACTGGCCAGACGACACAGCTTCCACTCCTCGTCTCACAATGAGTATTAGAGACAGTCCATTGTGCCCACCTAAACGTCCACTATTATTTGGTTAAACTGTAGGCGTGGCGCGAATTTCAAACTGACCCACCCTCCCACTACACTCCGTGAATAAGAATTTTTCACCCAGGGGAAGAGCGCCGGCCATTCATTGGCAGCACGTATTCCAAACAAATTCAAAAAGTTCATCCAAAAGATACTAATTCCATTTGATCCCCAATGTCATTCACCCCCCGTGATTTATCGATTTTCCAAAAACTCTTGTAACATCTATTTGATAATTTCTCTCTCCAAGTGATTGCGTGGGAGCAGGTGGTGATGAGCATGAAAATGTCCCTTTCGGTGTCACTTTGAGGGCCATAAACGAGCGAGAGAAAAAAATCCCATTGAATCGAAACAGTGAGGAGAGGACTCCTGGAGCCGTTCAACAGTCGTTTAATCTAATATAACAGTGAGTGGTACCGGAAGAATAAAAGGGACGATAGTTATATCTGAGGGGTAGTCGTTGGAGCGTGAAACGCCAAACTAAACGCTCACTGATCGACCAAATATTATAATGCTATATGATACAGTCTCATCCCCCCCGGGCGCGTGGAAAAGGGAAAAGCCAGGGCGCACACAGCGGCCCTCACAAGTGTGTAGGTAGTTAAACGGTTAGCTGGGGCTGTAACAAATGTATAACGGAGGGGTTGGTTGAGAGAGTGTTGAGGGCAAAAAGGAGCCATTATGGTGGGATCCCTCCCCTCCGGATAGTCAGATAGACGGTGCAACTCGCGTTTATAAACGCAGAGGGGAAGGTACGATCCCTCGAACGCATCTGCCCCATTATCCCTTGATGGTATATCCCTTGGTATACACTGGACCATTAATCCTCGCTAAACGACAGCCATTTTGTATCTAAACTGGATTGCCAACTCACTAACTGGTTTCGAGGACATTTAATAGACTGTACGAGGAAGCCTATTATGGCCTACCTCGTGCTATAGCATCATCCTGTGTCATTTCATCTTCTGGCTCCAAAGAAACGAGCGAAAAAAATTTTTTATTTCATCTTCCAATGATTTTTGTTCTCCAATTTTCTTTTACGATAGCTGACTAATTACCAGTCTTTCAATTTACCAATTATCCTCACCAATTATATGCCTTCTGTCATTTCATCTTCTGTCTTCAAAGAAACGATCAAAAAAATTTTTTATGCCACTTTCCATCGATCGAGCACTTTTTTTTTATTTATAATTTTTTTTCAATTTTCTTCTTCAGTAGATGATTCTCACCAATTTAATACATAATTAATCCCCTCAATCATCTGCTAATAGACTCAGTTGATTGAAACTGATTGAAAAAAAAAAATCCTCCGAGAAAATTGTTCCGTATGCTCGAAGCGTATCCGTGAATTAGGCAATTAGGAGTCGTCACGTTCACATAAGCAAAATCAGTTGGCTCCTGCCGGAATCGACGATCACACGTTCGAGTGAGACAGATATAGACAGTAAGATGAACAAGGGTGAATAGAGGGAGAGCGCGTCATGCTGGTGTTGATACATCAGGGGAGAAGTTTTCATTGGTCAGACGGTTCAAGTGGTAACGCCCATTGTAGAAACGCCCGTTGAATAAGCAAGTAGTGATGGTATTGGTTGAGCGAGCCGATGCCAGTGACTGGAAGTGGTCGGTTAGTATTCGCGGGGGCGGCGTCGAGGTCGCGAGGCGGTGTGAGCTTTTTCCCCGGTTGCACGTTCATCCCGAGACAGGCGTAATCAGTGCCGTTTATGCGGCAGCAGTGGCAAGCCACGCGCAACGGAGGTCAAAGGCTTCTGCCAAAATTCAATAGTTTCATGTTCAATCGTTGAATTCATTTAATCAATGTTTATCGAGACAGTGCGCTAGAGTGTGAAGTTTTACCGAGGAATATGGAGCCCGGAGGGACTGAGTGATGAGAAAATCAGTGGTGAGGATAGAGCAACGACAAGTGATAGCGCAACAGAATGATAATTGTAATTGATACTTGATTGGTGAACGAATGGCGTGTGAAGGGTGTCGGGTTGAAGAGTGTCGAGCATGAGTAACGTTGACGGATTGTCCATGCAAGGGGCAAGCACAACTCCAACACCGGGCGGTGGTGGCAGTGGACTGTCGGACGATGCTGACATGGCTAGTCCCACGTCAGCCTCAAATCCAAAGCCAAGAAGTGGAAAAATCAATTTCAGTGTTGACGCACTGCTGAGTGGTACGAAAAAATCACCGGTCAATTTCTCAACCCGGAGGAGTGTGGAGAATGGCGACGATGGGGGCAGTGATATATCGGAGAAGAGCATTGAGATGCAGGATGAAGCAAGAAGGTACCGAGACTTTTTGATAATGGAGCAGGAGCGGCAAAGGGGGCTGCAGAGCCGTGAGCTTTTGGCAAGACTGAGTCCACTGACACCAAGTGGATTATCAGCGTTTCCAAGTTTGCATCATTACCATCATCAAGCGCGCTGCAATGCCGCAGCAGCGGCTGTGGCGGAAGACGTCAAGCGGGCAAATGCGGAGCGACAGGATACGATAACCGTGAAGGATTTCTCGAGAACAGGATTGCACGAGGAGTCTTCATCGCCCGTCGGCCTCGCGGACGACAGACTCAGTGGTAATTCCAGTGGTACCTCGCCGAAACCACTGACACGTCGAACCGAGGACGAAGACCTGGACGACGACGACCTGGATGACGAGAGAATCACGTCGAATCGCTCAGTATCGCCAATAAGACGAGAAATTGAGAACGACAGGAGTGACTCTGAAGCTCCAAGATCCCTGGAGGGTGATGGTAGTTGTGAGAGACTCATGGAAGTTGGTAGTGGTACGAGATCCGAGGATCTAAATGTCATGGATTCTGATTGTGAAATGGAACGTGAAGTGGAGGGTGGAAGACACGAGAAGGAAAAATCGAGTCCCGTTGTGCCACAGCCAATACATCCAGTCCAGAGGCCACCGGGGCCTTATTTAAGTGGACCAACACCAGGATGGTCGCCCACTGGATTTCCACATTCCTTGGCTGGATTCGCGTGGCTACCCCCACCCCCCCATCCGCATAATCCCCATGGACATCTGTATACGCCCCAGGGTGGACCAACGAGTCCCAACGGTGAGCTACGCCCCACCTAATCACTATTATTCAACGTGCACAATATTCCCTCCCCGAGGTTATTTAAATAATTCATTGAATCCCATCAACATCTAGCGTCAACAAAATTCCTCACACTTATGCCCCGACGAAATGCCCCGACGAATTAACATCCATATCACGAGCGATACCCGTATATTGAAGCAAATTAGCAGAAATTAGATAAGGAATGACAGGTCTCCAATCTGCCTGGAGGCCTGTTGGCAAAAATCACCTCAAGTTTTTATTCCTTTTATGTACGGTTAATAAAAGGAAAAACTCTTTCTTTAAGGGTTTCGACTAAACTCTAACGACGAGTACGACGTGTCGAGAAACTTGAGTTTTTCCAAGAAAGAAATCTCAGCAGACCATTCGCGGTTTTCTCGATAGTGTCCGCGAAGGAACGTTGTCACTCTTACATGGTATTTACTGTTTGCTGTGTATATGTACATGTCGTCAAGTTAGGAATGCCCAGTTGTGGTTAAAAGACAGCTGAAACAATTTTTTACCCAAGAGCCAGCCCCCCAGTGTCATATTGGACATCCATTAAATCCCAAATGAGAGAGAAAATTCATTTATATAGTTTAATACAATCAATCAAGCTGTAATAAATGAGATGATTTTCAAAGTCAAACAAACACTCGAGTGTCGTGTATCGTGATGTCTAGTCGTTAAAACAATCTCCGACAGGTCTTCCGACGTACGAGGATCGTTTATAACTGTGCACACGCGGCATTCAACACAAACTCCGTCCGGTCTCGGTAGTCCAAGAATAAATTAATGAAGTAAAAGACCTCCCCATCTGATTCATTTCTATCTTGCTTACATATTCGTATGTACATGTGTCTAATGAAGTTTTCAAAACGATTTATCATCCCGCCATTCATAATTACGAGACAACACTTAACAACGCATCTAAATTGCACTAGAAATACACCAATTGACGACATAATCTATTGACACACGATGTAACAAATCAGCAGTGATATACATCAGCCTGCATTCGCCGTATCCCAGAACAATTCATTAATCTAACCGCAGATTAGTTAACTATGGAAAACTCTGCAAATGAGGGGAAAAAAATTGCGAAAAAAAAAATACGCAAATGCGCCGGAATCGCTTATGCAAGAGGCAATCCCATGTAATTTGTATCCCGGATGAATCTTGCAACTCGATCGTTTGGTGCTTATGTACTTGCGACGTTTCTCTGGGCCCGCGGGTAATTAACGGGAATTAATTAGCGTAAAAGAAATAAATAAAAAAAACACTCGTGGCAATCCGTTCGCTCTGAATGGCGATGCGGCTGGTACACCACTGGATACACTGGTATATGCGGGTTAATTTGCCGCAGTGCGCATTACTAAACGCTTTATTATACTACTCGACGATTTTACAAACAAATGTTGAAGAAAAAATTCACCGATAAAAAATCACAGCAGTGCAACTAAGAGGGCTTTAACGATGTCCCGACGCGACAGATAGGCCGGCACATCGCACCTTTACCTTCTCTCGAAAGATTGTATTCTTGATGTTTTGCGCTGCTGCACATTAATTGGCGGCCTTTACTTTGTAATAATTATGGTAAAGTCGTTCGATGATTAGAATTGTTAATTCATCGCTTGTGTCGGTTATGAATAAAAATGAGAGGAAAATCTGTCTTCAGGCTGTTGAAAAAAAATTTTAATTTCATATTTTAGTGAAAATTCAGTGACATTTCTTTTTTCTTTAGCAGCAGGAAGACAAAAATTTCTCATTTTCCTCGGAAATTCAATGAATATATTTTCATAAATTCATTTCTAGGTGACCTGAGACTACCAGGACCAGGTCCAGGACCCGTGAGATGTACCCTGAGAAAGCACAAGCCCAATAGAAAACCAAGAACGCCTTTTACAACTCAACAACTGCTGTCACTGGAAAAAAAATTTCGCGAGAAGCAATATCTCACGATAGCAGAGAGAGCAGAATTCTCATCATCGCTTCATCTCACAGAGACTCAGGTAACTAAACAAATTAAAATAACGAAGCGAACAGGAGTATTGCACCCCTTTTTTTTCATTCCTTTTTTTTTCGGCTCATGCTATATATTGTGTACAAGGTACGAACCGTTATCGAGTAGACTAGCGTGTCGTAATACACTTTGCCCATTGGTAGCAATGCATCAGGCAAAATGAAGCTTCGTAGCATTCATTTGCTTAGATAAGCCGCCTTCTGCCTCCCCGAAGACAAGGGGGTGTGATCGTATATACCTCGGTGTAATAGAGTGCATTAATTCACCTGCAGCAGAATAAAAAACCGAGTCATGTCTTGAGTCCAGCATTAGACGTTAAATTAATAGATCCGTTTTGCAACATGATGAATTTCAAGTTTATTTTCGAGCAAAAGAGAAGAAAAAAATATCCACTGATATTTTGAGTCTCAAGCGCTCAATGCGCTTCATTCGACGAATGATTTGCGATATCTCGTGTGCTAATTTCCACATCATCAACCACCACTTGACGAAGAGAATTTTTCAAAAAATCTGAATTTATGTTACGACTGATTTTATGATTCCAGGTGAAGATATGGTTTCAAAATCGTCGAGCAAAAGCGAAAAGACTGCAAGAGGCGGAGATTGAGAAGTTGAGGCTGTCAGCAAGACCTCTTTTACACCCAAGTTTCGGTACGGGTCTCATGTTTTCAGCGGGTGTTGGGCCACCAGGTACCCCAGGCGGTGTGCCTCCCTTCATAGCAGCAGCAATGGCAAGACACAGTCATGCTGCTGCTGCCACTGCTGCCATGTTCATGGGCCCACCTGGACACCGGCCATAATAAAATTGCCCATCAACATGTTGACATAACACCGGAGAATGTAAAAAATCAAGGGCTAATGTGAACTCTGGAGCTCGTGTATTTAAATTGAATATTAATTATGTAAATAATGTAAATAATTCAGCTCCGTTATTGTACGATGACTGTGGTAAGTCTCACACTGGACTGGAGTTTGTAAATAATAATTCAAGAGTGGAAAATGTCGTTTACGCGGACCTATAGATCTTTTACACGCTTCAGCCTTATAATCGATGACGTGCGATCGAGCGAGGGGAGGGGGGGGGGAGGGTTTTATGCGACAGGCAAACGTACTGGCTACGTGTTCAGTTTAATGGTAATCGGGCGTATATGTCAAGTAACAGCCAGTTGCTATATTGTGATCTATTAAAACGAAATGCAGCAATTTTAATTTCTCAGTTTGATTGGCAGAGCGTGTAAATATCCATAGATCAACAACCATATGAAAAAAAAAAAAAAAGAACAAACATGTAAATTATCTATTCCAATGGAATACACTTAATTTAAAATCTCAGTATGACGAGAATGTCAATGAGTGGATGAACACTTGATGACTGAAAAAATTCATAAATTCCAGAAGTACTGCGGTCAAACTGTATAAATGTACCATTAAAGTTTATCCATAAAAGAGAAGAGCAAAAAAAAACAACAGAATACGTTCTAGAGTAATAAATTTCAATTTCAATATTTAATTGAGCCTTGTGTGTACTTAATCCGAAAAGAAATTCGTAACAAATTGCTGCAATTATTCTTCGACTAGTAATAAAAAAAAAAAAACATTGAATTCATGAGGAAAGAGTTAACTGGCCGTGTGGGAACGACATTTGCAGGTAAGAAAAGTACATTTTGAGAAAGCATTAAAAGACCAGTAGGATAAATAACGAAGGAGCATGAAAGAACGTTAAAAATCAAGCATTCGCGTCACACATTTACGTCCTGTGGTATTTGAAGGTAGAATGCACGTTGGAATAAATGAGGGGGGGGGGGGGAGGGGGAGGAGGCGCCAATATAATACATTTTGTTCGGCATTAATTTACCCTCAAATGTTTCCCTTATATGAAATTTATGGACGCGTTGATCACTGAGAAATCGTCGCATATAAAAGCGAAGTAGGCGAGGCGCTCTCGGGTGCGCTGACAATTAATTAAAGAATAATTTCTTGTCTTTTGAGATATACCTGTGGCGGTGTATAGGGGTATCGCGTCAAGCCGTTTACAGTTGGCGGCCAATTATACCACAGGACAAGAGTGGAATACCAAACAGGTATGTGAGAGCGACAGAAACAGCTGAGAAAACGAGGGCCAGAGTGCAGCACACGCGCAGCTTACGTTTGCGCGTGCACTTCAACGAGCTTCTCTTCTTTAAAGTTGTTGATACCGGCTCGTTAAAACTTGAGGCCAATATTCCATTATCCACAATTCGAAATTCACTTTAATTCACGCGCGCCTCCAAAATCCCTGTTTATTCATTGCTAATGGAGTGGCATTGCCACCAGCAAACGAGCAATTTACGACTGAAAATTGATTAGATTCGACATGACCAATTAAAAAAAATCCCTGTCCTTTCATAATGTAATTTTTTGAGGAAGAAAAGGTGTACGTGTATAAAATTGGCATTTAACGCGTGAATCGCTGGAATAGGGGTCTCTCATTCGGGGTTTATCCAAATTAATTGGTCGTAAATTAAGCCACGGCCCCGGGAGCGAGTGAGACGAGATATATCCCCCGAACGATGAGAAGTAAGAGATACACAAGACCCAGGAATATAAGGAACGCGATGAGTGCAAGATGAAGAAGAGAGGGAGATGGGACGAGCTGAAAGAGGCTTCAAGAAGAGAGTTATAGAGATGATAGAGTGAGAGGGAGTGAGAGGATTTTACGAAGGGCTTCAGTGTGCGGCGTGCTATCGACTTGCCGGGGACAGTAGCGCATCGACACGCCATTATGTGGCGGCCGGGACTAATTTATACAAGCAGAAAGAGACGACTGGTGGGACCCACATAGCACACACATAAGGTAGTTAAACGAGCGAGTGAGGTAAAAGATCGTGGCATCGCGCGAGGCATTAGGGAAGGAGACCCCTAATTGGAAGACCCGGCCCCCAGTCACCACCAACTGCACACTCTCGTGTCTTTTGCTGTGTGTAACGATCCGCTTGAATTCGTGTCCCAACGAAATTGAGACGGTTATGTATGCCATATAATATATACTCAGTATCGATACCGATACAGATTCCACAGGGGCAAGAATATTTATCGTTTAATCATCAGTACCGGCTGGTGATATAAAAATTCCCAAACATTTTTCCCGAAAATTAGCGGATGATAAGTGGATGAATTACGAGGCACGTAATTTTCTTGAGAAAAAAAAAAAAAACCCCAGAAATTCATTGGAATAAAATAATGGAAAACAAATTAATAATAATCATGTCCTTCAAGGGCATCAATGTACATAGAAGGATATTGGTGAAAAATCACGTCGTCGAGTCACGTTCGTGCGAATGCAATGGTTGGAAAAGAAAAAGGCACCCAGAGAATCCTTGGGCAATTAGTCGATATTTTAATGCGGAAAAAAATTGTTGGCTCGTTATATGCACGTATATATACGTTGGTTATACCGGTTGAAGAGATGTAGAATGAAGTGAGAGTGAGGGAAGGAAGGCGGTCATTCGCCACTTCCCAAAGGACCACCAGAAAAAGCCACCAAGGCACACACAACTTTAAGGGATGTGTATGAGTGGGACAGCCAAGGCGAATGAGGTCTTGGGGAGCCATTGGATTCGCCGCGGCACCTTGTTAGCGCAACGATTCTCCGCTTGACGCGAACTGTCCGATAAATAATCATCCAACGGACGTTAACCCGATTGCCTGTCCCTTAGCACGCATCTATCTCACTTTAACTATATCATTACATTTTCGACTGCATCAATTTTTTTACATTTTCCACCGATTGATGAAAATGTGACAACTCTAATTAATTATTTTCACCACTCAATCAATTGTCAAATTATTCATTGACTTTTTACCCAGCAGCATCGGGATTATCTTGAGGATAATGCCGAGAAGATGTTTGAAAATAAAAAATATATCCATATAGATAGATTGTGCGATAGCCGGCGAGCGCATTCTGTGTGTGAAAGCGATGACAATCTCAGTGTTGAAAACATGCAGTAGCTCCGGAAAAAAAAAAAAAAAAAAAAAAAAAAAAAAAAAAAAAAAAAAAAAAAAAAAAAAAAAAAAAAAAAAAAAAAAAAAAAAAAAAAAAAAAAAAAAAAAAAAAAAAAAAAAAAAAAAAAAAAAAAAAAAAAAAAAAAAAAAAAAAAAAAAAAAAAAAAAAAAAAAAAAAAAAAAAAAAAAAAAAAAAAAAAAAAAAAAAAAAAAAAAAAAAAAAAAAAAAAAAAAAAAAAAAAAAAAAAAAAAAAAAAAAAAAAAAAAAAAAAAAAAAAAAAAAAAAAAAAAAAAAAAAAAAAAAAAAAAAAAAAAAAAAAAAAAAAAAAAAAAAAAAAAAAAAAAAAAAAAAAAAAAAAAAAAAAAAAAAAAAAAAAAAAAAAAAAAAAAAAAAAAAAAAAAAAAAAAAAAAAAAAAAAAAAAAAAAAAAAAAAAAAAAAAAAAAAAAAAAAAAAAAAAAAAAAAAAAAAAAAAAAAAAAAAAAAAAAAAAAAAAAAAAAAAAAAAAAAAAAAAAAAAAAAAAAAAAAAAAAAAAAAAAAAAAAAAAAAAAAAAAAAAAAAAAAAAAAAAAAAAGAGGATACGAAATACAGAGAGGGAGAGAAAACGATGAGCCTGCGGAGTGCCTTTCAGACACAAGAATATATCGAGTGGGCTAGGTGTGGTCCGGAACGTGAACCAGGGATTTCCAGGAACGCGAGCCATTAGAGCCCTCTCGGTCTGGTGTTATAAATTGTACATCGTTTAATTAGGCGTCCTCTACCTGGCACAGTCGCATCGTGTGTCGAGTGCCAATTATTTATCATTTACCCCAGTGCGTTTTAACAACTTTGTCCCAGGCTGATTAACAATTATAATCCTCAATCCGACTGACGCTCATTTGTATCATGAAAATAGAGCAATTGATCGTCCAGTTGAGAAACAATTTTTCCACCACACCTTATCAATAAAATAACGGCACATCAATGGATCATAATACCTGCGGAAGTCCTATCTCATACGCTCATCAAATTACAACCACTAATTGCCTCTCTCGATTGCTATACGAAGTGAAAATGAAAACTTGAGCATATAACTGGGACGATTTAACGGACGTCGTCACAGCGGGTTTCCTCGATTACTTTATTCCCAGTGCATATATTTTTATTTAAAATAGCGACTTTAAACGCGGTGGCAAAAATTCCACTCTTATCTCCCCTGATGAAGTGGAAATTAGTAGTCGCTACCGTACACAGACCGCCTCTTACACACGCAGGCGCAGTTAAGGCCTTCCTCTCCTTCACAATCACACTCGATTTCTCCCAGTGTGTCGTCCTCTCATCCCTCCTGTTTCTATACATCTTTCTCTTTACCTTATTTTACCGCATTTTTTTTTTTTTTGCTTTTTCACTCTCCCTCTTCCTCGTTCTCGCTATCCACCCGATTCCCCTCGCCACAACGTGAAACACACAGGGGGCGAGCCGCATTCGAACAACCGTAAGTGTTGAATTCCCAGTCGTTGTTAAGTAAATTGGGTCCCAACCGGTTTCTTATTTCGTTGCCACTGTCTTACTCGCTGCCCCCGTACCCAACATCCCAGCATCCGCACGGGACAATCCGCGGCATCCCAGCAACTCCAAAAATCCCCTCCCTCCGCCGCGCAAAAAAAAAATGAAAATCCACCTCAATTGAACGAAATAAAACTCTATGATAGAATCATTAAACCCCGAGAAATGCATCCACTGGAAAACAAATTTCATTGTGCAGCCGACTCGCGAGAAATCACCCTGAATGTTCAGAATACTTGAAGAAAGGGAGAGGGCTACCAAGTAGACTCTACTAAGATCTCATCGTCCGATATCTCCCCGGCTTTTTTGTCAATTTATAAGGATTTATACTCGTTGGCCCCGGGCAGAAGGAGCCCTCCAGCCCTCCCCCATTGGTGTTCTCCTTGTAACCCTCGTTCACCGAATAAATATCCGCCCCCCCCCCCCCCCCCCC